CGCACACACAAACTACAAACCAAATCCGATCCCGAACTGAATTAATCCTCCCCGGATTTTATACGCCACCCCACCCCTCTTTCTCTCTGTGTCTCTCTCTGTCTCTCTCTCTTTTTCTCTCCTTCCTTTCCAGTGTTGTCAGCCATCTTGGATGCTTATCCGAATATTCTATTAGTCCAGAGATTTTTTTTGTTTTCAAAAAAAAACCTCCCCTTTTAACGGAATATTCGAATAACCGTTGCAGCCCTAAACAGAACATTCACTAATGCATTTTACAACATATGACAAGGTGAAACAAAGTAAATGCTTTAGCAATGCAGTTTATCTGTATCATATGACATAAAATGTCACCATTTTATCTTCTACTTTATGAGCCAGTGGATATTTTTTTTATTAAAAAAAAGCATGAAGGGAAAGAAATTTAGACTCTCAATAAAAATATTTCTAGTACCAAACACGCAGAGTGGTTCAATACGCTGGATAATTTCTCAATTGTGCAGATATTGCTGGGCTTTAATACTCTACAACAGTGATAAATTTAAATTGCAGCCTGGAAGCATTTTAGATGCACATTCCTAGTTGCTTCTGAAAAATCAACCCCCACCCCCATCCCTTGCCAAGCTAATTCAGTTGTGTAAAGGAACAACAGCATATTCCCCACCCAACCATGTTAATGTGGATTACTGCCCTTTACTATGAAGCAAATTACGTCCCATTTTCATTTATCCAGAATAGGATAGGTGCATATCTTTCAGATTTTTAGATAGGCTAGTACTAGCTCAGGGGCGAAGAACCTTTCTTCAATTTGGGGGCCACATGCCATTCTGTGCAACCTTCTGGGAGTCATGGGTCTGTGATGGGCGGGGCCAGAGGGGAAAGTGGGTGGAGTAACAAGTGTGAAATTCACCTTCATAGGCTACTTTTTAAGCACACTCACGGGTCCCTCCCTCACCTCCACCATCCCTCTCTATCCTCCAGCAAAAAACACTATTGGGGTTCAACAGCACATTCCAGCCAGGCAAAACCACTCAAAAAGAGTGGAGAGAAGGGCTGGGTGAGGGGGGGACATGGCTATGGAGTGGTGTGGTCTGAGGACAGTTCCAAGGGCCACGTAGAGAAGCCTAGGATCCCCTTGCCTGAGGTTCCCCATCCCAAAATGAGCTTAAATCTTTCAGGATACACATCAAGTCCTGGATTTTGAGGGACAAGGAATATAATAGTAGTAATCAAATGCTCTGCACATCCCAATTTTCACTTCCCGTGTGGTATAGAAGTGCTTAACCATTCTTCCTTCCCCTCCTTCCATATCTTGCTTTGTTTGACGAAGGGTGCTGCAGTTTCAAGGTCCAAACTGCCATATTCAATACAGGACTGGCCTCCAGTAGTCTTCTTCTTTTTTTTCTCAAATCACAGAAAAGGGGGAAGTTAACTTCTCCCATTGCAATGCTGCTAGATAATTCTTAAAGGCAGTGGATCTCTGTCCTGTGTTGCATCTGACAATGTAAGCCAAAGAAGGGGCAATTTCTTCTTCCGTTGGCCTCGCTGTAGCTACCCATCATACCGTTAGGAGATTATTTCCAGCTCACACCTCTTTTTGCCTGTTTCCCTTGCTTCCATACCTGCCCTTCGCTTATTGCCTCCCGTCTATCTGAGTGCATGCATCAATGGGAAGGACCCTCCCCTGCCACACTCACCTGTTGGGCATGCTTCCTTTTTCGGTGATGGCGTCACACCACATGTTAAAGCCAACGCTTACAATCGTGCTGGCGATGAAGATGACGAAAACCACAAAAGCGCTGATGAGCAGATTCAGGAAGGCGTAAAAGAAAGAGCTGCGAGGGGAAAGTGGGAGGTGGGGAAGAGAGAAGAAAAGGGAATTATAACTCGTAAGCAACGTTTACCAAAGCAAAGTAACCAAACGTGATCCACCTGGAGCAGGAACTGGCAAGCCACTCCAGTATCCCTGCCAAGAAAACTCCATGGACAAAGACAACAGGCATATAAAAGTTATGACGCTGGAAAATGAGCCCCTCAGGTCGGAAGGTATCCAACATGCTACTGAGGAAGAGTGGAGGACAAGTACAAGTAGATTCAGAGCTGATGAAGCGGCTGGGCCAAAGCCAAAAGGACGCTCAGTTGCGGATATGCCTGGAAGTGAAAAGAAAGTCCAATGCTGTAAAGAAAAATATTGCATAGGAACCTGGAATGTAAGAACCATGAACCTTGGTAAGTTGGATGTGGTCAAAAATGAGATGGGAAGAATAAATATTGACATCCTGGGCATCAGTGAACTAAAATGGACGGGAATGGGCGAATTCAGTTCAGATGACCATCATATCTACTACTGTGCACAAGAATCCCATAAAAAAAAAATGGAGGGTCCCTCATAGTCAATAAAAGAGTGGCATCTTAAAAAGCAGAGACATCACCTTGCCAACAAAGGTCTGTATAGTTAAAGCTATGGTTTTCCCAGTAGTGATGTATGGAAGTGAGAGCTGGACCATAAAGAAGGCTGATCGCCGAAGAATTGATGCTTTTGAATTATGGTGCTGGAGGAGACTCTTGAGAGTCCCATGGACTGCAAGAAGGTCAAACCTATCCATTCTGGACAGAAGTAAAGAAAGACCTAGAAATATGGTCAAGGTTGAGACTCTCCTTGTTAGGCCGAATTGCTGTCATTAAGATGAATGTATTGCCGAGAATGTTGTTTTTATTCCAGACGTTGCAGATTTTGGACAAGATGGACTGTTTCAAGAAGTGGCAGAAAGACATATCTAAATTTGTCTGGCAGGGCAAAAAGCCCAGAATAAAATTTAAGATTTTAACTGATGCAAAAGATAGAGGGGGGTTTGCCCTGCCGGACTTAAGACTCTACTATGAATCGGCAGCTTTTTGCTGGTTGAAACATTGGTTACTTCTTGAGAATACAGACATTTTGGATCTGGAAGGGTTTGATAATAGATTTGGTTGGCATGCATATATATGGTATTACAAGGTAAAATTGCATAAAGGTTTCAAAAACCATATTGTTAGGAAAGCATTATACAATGTTTGGATGCGGTATAAAGATTTATTGGAAAGTAAAACTCCCAGGTGGTTGTCACCAATGGAAGCTAAAGAGGTGAAAAAACTTAATATGGAGTCTAAATGGCCAAAATATTGTGAAATTGTAGAACAAGATGGTGAAAAAGTTAAATTACAGAGTTATGAGAAATTAAAGTCCAAGGTACGAGACTGGTTGCATTACCTTCAGATAAATGAGATATTTAAACAGGACAGGAAAATAGGCTTCCAGATGGAGAGGTCAAAATTAGAAACAGAACTGTTAGAACCCAATACTAAGAACTTGTCTAGAATGTATAATTTGCTGTTGAAATGGAATACACAGGATGAAACGGTGAAATCAGCTATGATTAAATGGGCACAAGATATCAGTCATGACATTATGTTTGCTGACTGGGAACAGTTATGGACCACCGGTGTTAAGTTTACGGCATGTAATGCCTTAAGAGAAAACATTATGAAAATGATCTATAGGTGGTACATGACCCCAGTCAAGCTTGCAAAAATTTATCATTTGCCCAACAATAAATGCTGGAAATGTAATGAGACTGAAGGTACTTTTTATCACCTTTGGTGGACCTGCCCGAAGATTAAAGCCTTTTGGGAAATGATCTATAATGAAATTAAGAAAGTCCTTAAGTGGACCTTTCCTAAGAAACCTGAGGCTTTTCTCTTGGGCATGGTTGGCCAATTGGTGTTAAAGAAGGATAGGACGTTTTTCATGTATGCCACTACAGCAGCAAGAATTCTTCTGGCAAAGTATTGGAAGACACAAGAACTACCCACTCTGGAAGAATGGCAAACGAAGGTGATTGACTATATGGGACTGGCAGAGATGACCGGCAGAATCCGTGACCAGGGGAAAGAGACAGTGGAAGAAGACTGGAAGAAATTTAAATTATATCTTAAAAATTGCTGTAAAATTGAGGAGTGTTAAGATGTAAAGGAACTAAGAAATAGAGAATTGCAGGTGTAATCAATAAGCTAAAGAAAAAAGAATTTAATGAAAGTGATTTAAATAATTAATTAATTGGAGGAGTTGCTGAAGAAATCTAAAACAAGGATGCAGAAAAGGGGAGGTATGGGGAAGTCCGGGAAGTAAGGTGTATGAAAATATGATTATGAAATTATACATGTTTATATGTTTGTATGTTATTGTTTTGTGTATTGTTTGTTTTTATTATGTGTTTGGAAAATCAATAAAAATTTATTTTTAAAAAAAACCAAACCTATCCATTCTGAAGGAAATCAGCCCTGAGTGCTCACTGGAAGGACAGATCCTGAAGCTGAGGCTACAATACTTTGGCTGCCTCATGAGAAGAGAAGACTCCCTGGAAAAGACCCGGACACGACTAAATGACTAAACAACAACAACAAGCAACGTTAGGACTAATGCAGCTCCCTGTTATCTCACAGTGGCTGACCAGGTGCTTCTGGGCAAGTCCTGAGTGTGAGAGAGCCAGCGTGGTGTAGTGGTTAAGAGCGGTGGACTCGTAATCTGGTGAACCGGGTTCGCTTCCCTGCTCCTCCACATGCAGCTGCTGGGTGACCTTGCGCTAGTCACACTTCTCTGAAGTCTCTCAGCCCCACTCACCTCACAGAGTGTTTGTTGTGGGGGAGGAAGGATAAGGAGATTGTTAGCCGCTTTGAGACTCCCTAAAGGTAAAGGGACCCCTGACCATCGTGACCGACTCTGGGGTTGTGGTGCTTCATCTCGCTTTATTGACCGAGGGAGCCGGCGTACAGCTTCCGGGTCATGTGGCCAGCATGACTATGCCGCTTCTGGCGAACCAGAGCAGCACACGGAAATGCCGTTTACCTTCCCGCCGGAGCGGTACCTATTTATCTACTTGCACTTTGACGTGCTTTCGAACTGCTAGGTTGGCAGGAGCAGGGACCGAGCAACGGGAGCTCACCCCGTCACGGGGATTCAAACCGCCAACCTTCTGATCAGCAAGTCCTAGGCTCTGTGGTTTAACCCACAGCGCCACCCGCGTCCCTTAGGGTAGTAATAAAGCGGGATATCAAATCCAAACTCTTCTTCTTCTTCTGAGTGCAACAAGCAAGTCCTGAGTACAACAGCATTCGCCCCACTAGGGATTTCCAGCTACTGCTATTCAGAAGCGTTACTGCCTACCACTCTGGAGGGAGAACATAGGCTAAGGTTACCAGACGTCCCCATTTCCTGGGGACAGTCCCCAGATTTACACATCAGTCCCCATACAAAATCCATTGAAGTTGAAAAGTGTCCCCGGATTCATTGAAAAAAATCTGGTAACCTTAACATAGGCATCATGTCCAGTAGACATCAACAGCCCTCTCCTCCATGAATTATTGCAATCTTATCTTAAAGTCATTTAGGTTAGTGTCCATCACTGCCTCCTGTGGCAGGGAGTTCCATAGTTCATGCACTTTCTTTTACCTATCCGAACTCTTCCAGCATTCAGCTTCATGGATGTATGCAAGTTCTAGTGCTATGAGAGAGGGATAATTTTTTTCTCTCTAGCCACCTTCTCCATGTCACACATCATTTTATAATTTTATAAATCAATTTGTCGGATCCTCTTTCAAAGTCATCCAAACTGGTAGCCACCAATTGATGCCTCTTATGGGAGCAAATCCTGCAACTCTGTGTTTACAGCACCAGAGCACCAGTTCAGATATGTCTGGAATGCTAAAAGTTTTCTCAGTGCCAAGGCAGCAAAATCCAGAGGAGGCGCTCCTTTGCCTTTTGACAGATTGATACTGACAGATCTGGGTTTAAGAGGCCTATCCCACAATCTCCTTCCCCACTCCTATGTATTTTTGGTGGCAGACCTCAAACATTTCCTTTTAGCCTAGGCCACCACAACTGGGCTGAATAGGGGGTATTAGTCAAACCATATGAAGAGTACTAGGTTGGGGGAGGCTGGCTTATACTTTGTCCATGCTCTGACTTGCAAACAAATCAGCACTAAATAACATGTGAGGTTTGTCAGAGTTTAGTATTGTGTAGCAGCTTTCTGTTTCACAAATAAGCAGCAACTAGGGGAGGGACGCGGGTGGCACTGTGGGTTAAACCACAGAGCCTAGGGCTTGCCGATCAGAAGGTCGGCGGTTCGAATCCCCGCAACGGGGTGAGCTTCCGTTGCTCGGTCCCAGCTCCTGCCAACCTAGCAGTTCGAAAGCACGTCAAAGTGCAAGTAGATAAATGGGTACCGCTCCGGCAGGAAGGTAAACGGCGTTTCTGTGCGCTGCTCCGGTTTGCCAGAAGCGGCTTAGTCATGCTGGCCACATGACCTGGAAGCTGTACACCAGCTCCCTCGGCCAGTAAAGCAAGATGAGTGCCGCAACCCCAGAGTCGGTCACGACTGGACCTAATGGTCAGGGGTCCCTTTACCTTTACCTAGGGGAGGGTAGATGGACCCAGACTGTGAGCACAGTGTCGGAGAGGAGGATTTATCCAGTACAAGGTAGGGAGAGGTTGTTCCCATCACCACAGTAGTAGAATTCAGGCCTATTCAATGCAGCTGAATGTTGGAAAAATTGAGAGAGACTATTATTGATTCATTTATTTACTAAATGCATATTCCGCTCTTCTTCCCAAAGTAGGCAAGGATGGTAAGCAACAACTTTAAAAATGTCCCACTGCAGATGCAGACTGGAAGAGATCTCAGTTTAAAATGTCTGCTAACCAGGTGCCAAAGGGACAACAGAGACTGCACCTGTCTGATATGCATGGGGAAAGTATTCCAAAGGGCAGGTGCCACACCACTAAAAGCCCGATTCCTAGTTTGTGTGGAATGGACCTCCTGATATGATGGTCTCTGCAGAAGGCCCTCACCAGCAAGCAGTGATCAATTGGTCATAGAAGGGGTGAGACAATATTTCAGGTATCTATCTCTCAAGCTGTATACAACTATATGCACCCAAACCAGCACCTTGAATTTAGCCCAGTAACCCTAACCCTATCACACCCCCACTCAGTCTGCTCCATGCCAGGCAAAAAAACAAAACAAAAAACCCAGTTTCTTCAACCTAGATAGCCAGTGATATGGAAAACAAATCCTATTATGAAAGTTTGGAGAAGCTGGGAATGTTTTGCAGATGTTCTACCTTCCTCCACCTTTCTTCAGATGGTGGCTAGACTACAGTTTCATGCCGTAGCAAGTGGTCCTTTGTGTATCCAGGTTGTAGGACAGCTTTCTAGTTTAAACACTTTGATCATCCCCGGAATATTACAAGCTGGATGCCTGCCATCGTAATCACACCAGTTTATTTGTAAGCCACTTTTCTGCAAAGCGTGACTCACAGCATATCAAACTAACTGCAATAAATGTAACAATCCAAAAAAACATACATACTAAGAAACTATTAAGAATTATCATAAGCTCACTTATGTAAAAGCAATATAAGTAAACTAACCTAATTTATGAGCTTAAACCCAAAGAGGACAGAGAATAATGTCTAACGCAGAGTAAAATGGCAGCATATCAAATTGCAGGCAAGAAATCAGTAATCCAAAACTACGTTCCATAGAAGCTCACCATAATTTGGCCACCACACCTTTCCATTCTGACAGCCTTCCCTCTGATCTGCTAGTTAGACACCCATAGACATCCACCAGGCCTATTGTGAGTTTAAGACAAGGCTTGTGGGCCACCTGATGTTGTCGGACAACAAAGCCTATCATCCCTGAACATTGGCCATGGCAGCTGGAGCTGATGAGAGCCAAAGTTCAGCAATGTCAGGAAGGCAGCCAGTTCACCATATCTAATTTATGGAAAGCTTCATCTTCATCCACCCCCTGCCCATTCTTGCGACCTGGACCAGTTCATCTTACACAGGTGAACACACAGACAGGCAAAGACCTCTTCATAGCTTGTGGCACTTTGAGCTAAATTGCAGCACCCCAGAGAGATCTCGAAAGCCAGCTGAATGCAGTGTATAAAATATTACCAGTGCTGCAGGCACACATCACCATGGAGATCAATGGTACATTCTATTATAAGCCTGTGGTTTGGATCACTTGCCCAAAGCCTCTGGAACTGTCTGCTCTGCAGACAATGTAACAGAACATGTTGCCTGCTTTTTATCTTCTGGTTGTCATTTTGCTTGGGACTAACTGGGGATGGGAGGTACCATATTTGATCTTAAGAAAATAGAAATTTGCCTGATGGAGGTTGAGGCTCTTGGGTCCTGCTGGTTGCTTGCAGACATTTGGAGAGAAAAGATCTCACCATAAATAATTTATTATTATTATACATGTATATCCCACCTTTTCTCCAAAGACCAGGGTTCAAATCTCCCCCTTTCCATTTTATCTTCACATTTTATCCTGTGAGGTAGTTTAGGCTGAGATGCAGTGACTGCCCCAAAGTCATCAAGTGGCCTTCAGATCCAAGTGGGGATTTGAACCCTGGTCTCCCAGGTCCTAGTCCATCTCTCTAACCACTACTCCACACCGGCTCTCAGCAATAATAGCTAGCTCTCCCACTTTTCCAAAGGAAGCATAGAAATGGAATATCTCAGAGATAGCTAATTTGGTGCCCCCACCCCAGAAGCGGTAAGAGTCCAGCTCTCACCAGTCCCAGACAATATGGCTGACAGTCAGAGATGATGGGAGCTGTAGCCCCAAAAATTCGGAAGGCACCATGTTAGGTACCACTCGAAGAGCCAGTTGTGGTACTGAGACCATTAAAAAAGAATCAAAATTGGCTTTGGGGGGCCCAGAGGAGGTGGGTGAGCCAGGAGAAGGTGGGATTCACTCAAGGCAGCAGAAAACTTTTGGAGAGCCATACCTGCCTTTCAGCTCTTGGGATGAGAAGCACCATAAACAGAAGCAGCTGCTGTCACCAACAACATCAGCATCAGTTGTGCATGTGTTTGCTTTTTGTTGTTTTAATGTTATTGCTCTTATTTTGTAACGATATGTAGCAGAAACCATTATACATCAAGCATCCTTGCAATAAGAAGAAAACAAATGAAATTTTTAAAAAGAGGAGGGAGGGGAATAAAGTGGGAAATGAAATTACAGATAAAGGGGCGAGGATGGCATAGCAAAACTCTGTAATACCTTGATTAAATTAAAAGGGAAAAATGTAATTTATGTTGCCATTCCAGAAATGTAAAAATGCCCACCTCTCAATGAATTTGTTCTCTTTTATTATTAAGCATTGTGTTTCTCTCAAGCATAAGCTTTATCGTTAAGATAGTTTCCCCTAACCAAACCGTTATGGTAGGGAGATGTCTTCCCTTTTTTTGTGCAATTCTGCTGTGGTTAGCGGGGTAGCAATCAGATGTAAATCAGTATTAATGGTTTCAGGATAGAGTATCAATAGGAGAGCTCTTTTTTGGGTATCTTGGGAAATCGCAGCCTGTACATATTCACATAATATTCAGTAAGTCTGCCCAGAAAGGTATTAATTTGCCACAACTCCAAAAGGTATGCATTAAATCCTCCTTTATTGTGTACATGTTTTAAATGGTCGTTGTGTGTGTGTGTATGTACAGTCCAACCCCCTATGCTGAGCTGCAGTTTTGGAGCCAAAACCAGAGCCTAAAAAGGAGAGCCCTGCAGGATCAGGCCAAAGGCCCATCTAATCCAGCACCCTGTCCTCACAGGGGCCGACCAGTGGGGCTTTATTTCAGAACAGGCAAGCGTAGGGGGTAACCGGACTGAATAGACACCCCAGCTCATCCTGCTGCAAGCCTAGAGGAATGCGCACGGAGCCTTTTCGCCTGGAGTCTGGCGCGCAAGGCATCTGGTGGGCGACGGGGAGTCTCCGTTTCCAGGGGAGGGAGGACCCCTCCTGCTCTTTTAAGCCAGCTCCCTCCCTTCCCCTTCTCTCCCCTCCGTCCCTCCCCGGCCGCCACTTACTCCTCGTGGCCTTTGCAGAGGAAGAAGAGCGTCCTCCAGGCCTGCACTGCGGCGAGCAGCAGCGAGAGGAGGCCGGCGAAGAGGCTGAATCGGCAGGCGGACTCGGGCCCCCACTCCTGCACGGTGAAGCGCTGCCGCTCGGCCGTCAGGTTGGCGTTGAGCCACATGCCCTCGGTGAAGAGCAGGCAGCGGCCGTGGAAGTCGTTGCTGTTCTCCGACAGCGGCACCACCACGATGAAGCTGAAGAGGAAGGCGAGGAAGTAGCAGGTGCACTGCGCGAAGAGGAAGTTGCTCAGCGCCATGGTCGCCAGCCTTTGCTGCCTGCCTGCCGCCGCCAGCCGAGGAGAGAGGAGGAGGAGGAAGGCAGCAGCCCGGGGAGAGAGAGGAGGATGCGCAATGGCGAGCGCGCCTCCCTCCAGCGCCGCCCGCGCCGACCCAGCAAGGTTGGCAAGACGGGGCGGGGCTCGCCGGGAGGTTTAGACCCCCGCACCCTTTTTGTGAACACGTGGAGCTACCTTCTTGCGTGGGTATGCCTTTCAGTTTAGGTGTTAGCAAAGCAGGGAAGGGCAAGAGGGTAGGGGATGGGCCCACACAGAATGATGCATGGTGTGGAGACAGTGGGTAGGTTCTATTTTATTTTATTATTTTATTATTTTATTTTATTTTTTTTATTTTATTTTTTATAACCAATTAGCACACTCTGTAGAACATGAGACTCTTAATCTCAGGGTTTTGGGTTCCTGCCCCCTGTTGGGCCAAAGACTCCTTCATTGCAGGGGGTTGGACCAGATGACCCTCGCGGTCGCTTCCAACTCTACAATTCTATTACATATATAGCCAGGTATGATGGGAGTCGTAGTCTTTTTTATGATTTTCAGTTTTATACATTTCAATAATTTTACAGTCATTTTAACATTTCAAAACTTGACTTCCTTCCCCCTCTTTCTGCAGTTCCTTAAATTTATTTTCAATATTTTCTGCATATCCAAATTAACTTAATTTCCTCATTTATTCATCTACTTTAAATATATACGCTTATAAAACTGCAGCATATCTGTTTACAGCTTATTTGTAAATATTCAATAAACAATTTCCATTCTTTTGTAAAAGATTTGTTATCTTGATTTCTTACTTTCCCGGTAAGTTTCGGGAGTTGTAGTCCAACATCTGCCAACCCAATGTTGAGAAAGGCTGAGCTAGACTTAAGAGCAGCTTAAAAATGAATGAAGGAATGACAGTCAAGCATACATTTCAAGTCACAATTGCGGCTGCTGGATTCTCTTTTTATCAATAATGCTTTTCTCAGATCCTTTTTGCTGCTCACATTTCTTCCATGCATTGTTCCAGACCAAAAGCTGACTCCTCCACTCCTAAGAAGGTTTGAGTTGCTTCCTGGCCCCTCTTTGATTTGAAATGAATCCCCCATTTCCATGTTTTCATGGCTCCCAGTATGTTTCTGAGCACAGTTCAAAGTGTTGGTGCTGACCTTTAAAGCCCTAAATGGCCTCGGTCCTGTATACCTGAAGGAGCGTCTCCACCCCCATCGTTCAGCCCGGACACTGAGATCCAGCGCAGAGGGCCTTCTGGCAGTTCCCTCATTGTGAGAAGTGAGGTTACAGGGAACCAGACAGAGGGCCTTCTCGGTAGTGGCACCTGCCCTGTGGAACGCCCTCCCTTCAGATGTGAAGGAAATAAGCAGCTATCCTATATTTACAAGACATCTGAATGCAGCCCTGTTCAGGGAAGTTTTTAATATTTAACGCTGTATTGTTTTTAACACTTGATTGGGAGCCGCCCAGAGTGGCTGGGGAAACTGAGCCAGATGGGCGGGGTATAAATAATTATATTATTATTATTATTATTATTATTATTATTATTATTATTATTATTATCATCATCATTATTATTATATTTCAGCATGTGGAGATAAGAACATAAGAAGAGGCCACTGGTCCATCTAATCCACCCAGCATCCTGTACTCATAGTGGCCAAGCAGATGCCTTTGGGAAACCTGCAAGCAGAGCCTGAATGCAACAGCACTCTGCCTACCTGCAGTTCCCGTGAACTGGCATTCAGAGGCATACTGCCTCCAGCAGTGGAGGTGGAACATAGCCACCATGACTAATAGCCTTTTGAGAGCCTTGTCCTCCATGAATTTGTCTCTTTTAAAGCTGTCCATCGCTGCGTCCTGTGGGAGCGAGCTCCATAGTTTAACTATGCTCTGCATAGTTTTTATCTGTCTTGAATCTTCCAACACTTAGCTTCATTGGACATCCACAATTTCTAGCATTATGAGAGGGGGAGAAGAACATTTCCCTATCCACTGCCCTCATGTTATGCATAATTTTACATTTTTGCAAATGATTGTTGACCATTGTGAATTAAGTTCAAGGTGCTTGTAATCTATAAGAATCAGATATGCTCATGACATGGCTCTAATTCCAGTTTGAAAGTCACGTGCAGATGTGGTGCAAATGCAATATATGGTAAGAAGCCTACAGTGTGAGTTCACACATGCATGCATGCTGCAGTGAGAGGTGTGTATACATGATATGCACACACCAATTCCTGGCACACCAAGCAGCAGAAGAGATCTATTGCATTCTGGGTCCAGCATTTTGCATTGAGTGCTTCTACAAGAAAGCAGAAGGAAGGAGAACTGCCTCTTGCTAGATCTCAGGGGCTCCAGCGCTTTTGAAAGATAATTAGTCATTCTTGGCAAATCCTAACATAATAACCGCAGCCCCACTTCGCTATTTTAAACAGAATCAGAAATATAGGTGGTTGACTGCATTAATCAGCACCACGGACAGCTCAGCCATTCAGATTGCCTCTGGGAAGCTGGCTCTCTTTAGACTGCTGTCCAAGGTCCTGAATTCTGCATGGAACTGCTATTAAAGAAAGGAAACTGAAATCCTGCCCGCATAATGACTCCCTCCCCTGCTTCTTTCATTATTAATTTATATAATTGTATTGTTTAGTTTTTTCTTTTTCTGATTTTCTGTTGTTTTTTTCTCTTTATATTTTATCTTGTGAAGTCACTTCACTGCTTTTGTATAAAGTGATTATATTGATGATGATGATGATGATGATGATGATAATTCTTTTTTTATTATTATTATTATCCTTTATTATATTCCAACAATTAAAAACATATATACATCATCCATAAAAACAAAAGCATGAAAAAGAAAAATGTACAAAAAAACAGAATTAAGTTCCTTACTGCTTATCCATTCAAACATTGTACAGATCTATCACATCATATGACTTCCCACCACCTCGACACGAGCAATAACTCAACAATACATTCAGCAGTGTCTTCATCTAATCATTGTTCTTACCTCGCGGTTTTTATATTATACCTACTGTGATTTTGTCATTTCCCAAAATCGATTCCATGTATGAGAGAAATTTATTCCAATCATTAATAAATTTGGTATTTTTCTGTTGCCTGATCTTCTGCGTCATCATTGCTGTATCCATATATTCAATTAGTTTGGTCTGCCATTCGCTAATCGTTGGGATATTAGCCGATTTCCAACTCTGTGCTAGCAGTATCCTTGCGGATACTGCTGCGTATTGAAAGAGAGTTTGGTCATCTTTTTTGATTTCTTCCCCCACCATTCCTAAAAGGAATGCCTCGGGCTTTTTGGGAAAGGTGTACTTTAAGATCTTTTTTAGCTCATCATAAACCAACCCCCAGAACCTTTTAACTTCTTCGCAGGACCACCACATATGAAAGAAATCTCCCTCCTTCTTCTTACATTTCCAACAAGTTCTCTCCCCGGTTTTATACATTTTAGCTAATTTTGTTGGGGTGATGTACCACCGGTACATCATCTTTTCCATATTTTCCCGAAGTTTGACACAGGCTGAAAATTTCATATCTTTATTCCAAAGTTTTGTCCATCTTTCATATTCTATGGGGTGTCCTAGGTCTATGGCCCACTTAACCATAACTTCTTTGATTTCCTCGTCCATTGTATCCCAATCTAATAGTTGGTTGTACATTTTAGTTAGCAGTTTAGATTTCCCTTCTATTATTTCTAGCTGGAACTTGGATTTATTCTTACTCATTCCGACTTTTTTATGTTCCCTCCAGACGGCATTGATTTGGTGGTATTGCATCCACCCCGTTAGTTTGTCTTTTAGTTCCTCATAGGGTCTAATTTCCCAGCCTTTGTCTGATCTTCTCAGAAGATCAGCGTATGTCCACCTCTTACCTTCCATGTTTAGTTTCTTAATTACTAGGATATCGATGGGTGACAGCCACCATGGGGTGTCCTTTTCTACTAATCTTTTACACCTGTTCCATACCTCCAGCAGCGCTCCTCTTATTATATGATTAGAAAATCCTTTATGCACTCTCCCTTTATCCTGCCACAGGTATGCGTGCCACCCAAACCTAGTGTCAGATCCCTCTAAATCCAATAAGTCGGTGTTTTCTAAGACTATCCATTCCTTGATCCAGCAGAGGCATGAGGCCTCATAATATAGCTGTAGGTTCGGTACTGCAAACCCTCCTCTGTCTCTTCTATCAGTGAGCAGCTTATACTTAATTCTGGCCCTTTTACCTTGCCAGATGAACCTGGACAAGGTTTTCTGCCAGTCTTTGAACATTGTTGTGCCCCTGATTACTGGGATATTTTGGAATAGGAATATCATTTTCGGCAGGATATTCATTTTGATAGCAGCCATTCTCCCTTCCCATGAAAGTTGTAGTCTGCTCCAGCTGTCTAAATCCCTTTTACATTCTCTCCAGGTTTTGTTGTAGTTATCTTCCACCAGGTTTATACTTTTTGGGGTAATGATGATGATAATTCAATCTGCACTGGCTGCTTATCAGCTACCAAGCCAGGTTTAAGGTTCTGTTGTTGACACTGAATGCCCTACACAACTTGGGACAGGGAGACCTAGCAGACTGCCTCCTTCAGCACAGACCAGGAGTTGTATCCGAAGACCTATGCCTTTCAACAGGTTTGGAGAACCTGCATTCCAATGTTGTTGGAATATAACTCCCAATATCCTTGACCATTGGCCATGCTGGCTGGAGCAGACGGGGTTGAAGTCCAACAACATCTGGAGAGACACAACTGTCCCAAGCCTGCTTTACAGTGTTCTTAGAAGTCCGATGAAAAATCACACATACGTACAAAGAGTAGAAGTGTTTTGTCAAGCACCAGATGTCTCTTAAGGAGAGAACTTCTCCTCACCAAGTCCAGATGAGAGCATGACTGCAATTTTCCCCAGTTCTCTGAACTTTCTACTGTGCAGCTACCCTTCCAGGCCTTTTGCAGACACAGTGGGAATAACTCCTCCCAAAAGATAAATAATTATTTAAGAAATCATTGCTTTGCAGGTGCAAATACTCCCCTTGTTAGAAGAGACACTTTTGTCTCCAGAAGCTGCAGTTTTATCACAG